AAAGACGATATCGAATCGCTTCTTGAAAAACGATCCATTCTTCGTTCCCGTATAGTTGCCACAAATGAAAAGGAGCTTGCAATGTCTCGGCGAGAGCCTGTCGATCGCACTGACGGCTGTCAGTCTCAGCTAGAAGAAAAAATTGTCAAAGAGCTCCAGACAACAGTGATGTGTCTAACTGATGGAGAAGGTGTTTAGAGGGATTATGCTTTCAATAAGTATTTTTCAGCATCTTATAAAGGGTGGAAACCGTTTGTGAGAGGTACAAATGCGTACAATTTTACGACCAAAGATACACCTTTTAACCAGTCGACTTTAATAACACCAATGTTGAAATAAATAGATTTTGTTTTTACTTTTTTTTTATTCTACCTTTCTATCAGATACCCTACCCTAGCTTTGCATGCGCCTAGCTTTGCATGTGCAACAACTTCCGTTAGAGTTTCCTGATATCGGCTTTTTTGAAAGGTATTCCCGGCGTCTCTTAGTTAAATCAGGTTTGATTTGGGTTTCAGCTAAGCGTTGGATCATGACGACCTTCTAGAAAGTGTCCACTGAATCTCGGCACGGAACTTCGGCTAAGCTCAGTGGCATCTACGTTGCAACAAATTCTGGTGCCGGTCTTTAGAGGTTAGGTTTTAACTACCTCGGGACAAGAAACTCTAGATGCATTGTTTCGATACTAGTCCGGCCTAGTTAATTGTTAGTTGCTACGCGAAAGTGCACCTGGTGCATATCATTCTGCTTCCTGTCGAGGTTTAAATTGAGTGTCATAACATCTCTCTCAAAAAATTACTGCTCCCTAGCGTTCAGACTTGCTGTGCTCCTTATTCAAAGACATCTTCTGCCGTAATTTCCACTTCGTCAAGACACCATTGCATTATCGCTCCTTTCAGCTCGCTAACATCATGCCGACGTTAAAGTCTCGATGGACCATTCCAATTCCAGAGGCATCGCTACCTACTGTTGTATTCAAGTCTCCCACGCATCCCCTGTCCCAGACGAGACGATGTTTCTCGGATGCCGAACGACCGGACACTCACTTCTTCACCACACATGAATACCGTCTATGGTGCCAGCGCTTTGCCGCAGGTCTCAGAAAATTGGGTCTGCAGACTGGAGATCGTGTGCTTCTATTCTCTGGCAATGACTTGTTCTTCCCCGTGGCTTTCATGGGCATCGTTATGGCAGGCGGAATCTTCACTGGCGCGAACCCAACATACACCCCACGAGAATTAGGGTTCCAACTGAAAGACTCCGGAGCAAAATATTTTCTGTGTGCGGATGGGAGTTTGGACGTCGGAATTGCCGCCGCGGAGTTGATTGGTATGGGTAAAGACAATATATTCGTGTTCAATGGTGCTGTGTTTGATGGGCAGGGTGAGGGGTTCAAGGGTTGTCGGTATTGGGGAGAGATTTTTGCCTCTCCGGAAGAGGGAAGTAGATTTGCTTGGGACACTCTATCAACTCCCCAGGAAACAGATCGGACACTCGCCCTTAATTATAGTTCCGGGACTTCTGGGGTTCCAAAGGGAGTGCAGATAACCCATAAGAACTATGTTGCCAACCTACTTCAATTCAACCACGCCGCTTACTTGCGGAACGACTGGGAAAGGAGGAATAAATCTTCTCGCTGGCTATGTTTCCTCCCCATGTATCATGCCATGGCGCAGAATATTTTCATAGCTTCATCCTTGACGCGCGGAATTCCCGTTTACATCATGAAAAGATTTGACTTCATTCAGATGTTGGATGCAGTGCAGAAGTTCCGCATTACAGATTTGACATTTGTGCCGCCAATTGCTGTTACATTCGCGAAGCATCCAGCAGTCAAGAAATATGATCTAAGCAGCGTGGAATTTGTCGGGTGTGGAGCCGCTTCGTTGGGGAGAGAAATCTCGGAGGAGGTTGAAGCTTTGTTTCCACCCGGGAAGCTTTATGTCAGACAAGGATGGGGAATGACAGAGTATGACCCTTGTCCACTCATAATGTTTTAGCGTCTCGGAATCTAACAACCTAGTCAGGACTACGTTGTCGCTACTTGGATGGGATCCCAACCATCTTGGCACTAGCTCATCCGTCGGGGAATTAAATCCCAATTGCGAAGCAAAGATCATAGCAGATGATGGGATTACTGAGCTTGGACGGAACCAACGAGGGGAAATATGGGTCAGGGGCCCGAATATAATGAAGGGCTATTGGAACAAACCAGAAGCAACAAAGGAAACACTAACAGAAGATCGTTGGCTGAAAACAGGAGACATAGGATACGTGGATGACTCGGGCAAGTTCTATATTGTTGATCGAAAAAAGGCACGTAAAGGGCTGTCTCTACGTTTAAGCTGAAACGTGCTCTCTAACTATTGTTTTAGGAACTTATCAAAGTAAAAGGCAACCAAGTTGCCCCAGCGGAACTAGAAGGTCTCCTTCTGGAGCATCCTACAATAGCGGATGCCGCAGTCATCGGAGTGATCAAGTAAGTCCTAACTCGGTGCTTTCGGCCCCAATACGCTTTGATTCAGACACTAACTAGGCTGCTTTGACAAAGAAACAACGAAGAATGCCCTCGTGCCTATGTAGTCCTCAAACCAGGGCAGACTGTCACTGCAGAGGCTGTCGCCGACTATGTAAGGCGAAAAGTTGCGCCCTTCAAGCGGATCACGGGCGGAGTTGTGTTCGTTGATGATATACCCAAAAACCCCTCCGGGAAGATCCTAAGGAGACTCCTTCGGGACCAAGCACGACAGGAAATGAAACAGGAGAACGCCAGCTCAAAATTATGAACAGTGTTCGCGGAACAACGTACCCTGGTTCCATTTATGGCTCCCTGTCAAACAAAACTATCCACCAAAAACGCCAACAAACTAATTAATAGCTATTGATTATTTTTGCTTAATTTCTTTAGAAAAATTCGGAAATTGCTATTCACACTCGTGTTGGAATATTGATTTTTGTGCGTAATTTAGCATAAGCTAAGCCATAGATTAGCATGGGCTTAAGCGAACGATCAGTGGCTATAGAAGCTGGGTGAAATTCACTGATATTAGCGAGCTAAGCAGAGTTGCAAGAAAACCAGTGGTTATCAAAGGTGAACATCCTGTCTGGAATTTTGGATCCTGCTTTCTTATCATACTGTTTTTCCTAATTGTTTAATGCATCCCTGTTTATTCTAGGTGTCTAGTTTGAACATTGCTCTCACAAGGCTTAAATAATTTCGAGGTCTATCGAAGCAATAGTAACAGCATTTAACTTGCTGAGAATACTAGTTATATAACCCGTGGGGCTGGGACCAGAGTAATAATCTCAAAAGCCATGTCAGCGGGTTCTTCACTCAAAAAACACCAGTCAAGGGCATGAGACTGGCCTTTATATGAAACCACGCAGGCAAATATCACGGACAGCCCAATTTATCGTTTCTTGTTGGTTCACAGATCCAACAACATCATGCGATATAGTTACAAAGAGGCTGGCTGGACCAGGTTTTGAAGTATCTTCGCGAAGATTTCATCGAGATTCCTGCCAGGGAGACAGAAACACCCACACCACTGCACCGCTTCTCGTGAAAGCATTTCGACGTCGTCTTCTGGCTTGAGATAGCAAGCGAGTCCGAGGAAACTAGACGATCTCATCCCATAAATACACAGTCCAAAGGCTCCAGCGACTTATCACCAAGTCCGCCCGCACCCAAAGGCCTGAGCACGAATAGCATGAGAAGATAACTAGTCTATGGCAATCTTCTTATAAATTTGCAGCAGGCATCATACCTTCTGGAGTATGTGCTTCAGGCCAACAGGTATTTCAGATAGTACATGTTTGTCAATCTTCTACGACCTATCTTAGCTATAGTAACGCAGGGGAATCAGGCCTATAATGGTGTTCGATATTCCCAGGTCTCGCGAAGACAGTTGGAGACGTGGTGATATGCCATGAGTTGAACTGGCCTGAGCTGTTTAAGTTGAACTTACCTTAGTGTTCAGGACATGGTTGTGTACAGGTAGTTGTTAGGAAAGGGTGGCAGCGTGAAGCATGAAGGCTGGAGCCAGGCACGTTGTGCATGAAGGGGACTTGAGCAGCTCAAGAGTGTGCGTCGCAGACTGGCTCGAGATGATAAAAGAATGGAAGGCCGCATTGCTGTGGCACCTGGGGGGCCAGCTATTCTGTACTGACACATTCGGCGCTTGAATTCAGGCGGTTCAACGCGTCCGCAGATGTCCTAGCACAGAATCCATCTTCCGCACGGTGTGATTTAGAATAGGACACTTCCAGCTTTTTTGGACCTATTTCTTCACCTTCTGGCTTTTCCAGTGTAATTGTTGCAGCAGATTTACGGTGGGCTTGGTGATGATGATGATGATGATGAAGATGATTATCATTCCTTCCCCTTTTACGAAGAGGACACGAAGTCAAAAAAAGAAAAATCGAAATCAAAAAGTTTGTTAAAACTATTAACTGGTGCCTGAAATAACCCAAAGACCATGAAGCTGTCTAGCGTAAACTTTGCAGTGGAGCTGGTGAAAACAAAGCATATCGTGCAATGGGACCACTTTGCTCATTTAATCTGTATCAAAAGAACAATTTCTGCCTTATCTGTTTTCCTAGTCAGGGTTCAAGGACAAATGCCTGCATACTAGTTTATTTTCCCCCCCCTGAGATGTCTACTAATCAAAGCCCCCAAACGGCCAAACGATCAGGAGGATTCGCGATGAAGGCAATTATACAAATGTTGATATTTGCGATATTGACCGATGTGCCTCGGCCGCACGTCCCAGCATCAGTAAGTCCATCGCTCAATGTTGTGCGAACCTGTCTAATGAGAGGAGAGTGACCAGGGGCTTACCAAGTTCTACTGCTACTTTCTTGGTTTTTGGAATACTTGAGTTTGTTCAGTGTAAGAAGTGGTTGGTGTAACATCTGTGAAGTCAATATAGCCCAGCTGACTTGGTTGGCTGTCATCATCATTGATTGTGAGCACTGACTCAGGTGTTGGATTGTTGAGAGTATTAAAGTTCAGACTGCGAAATCTCAAAATCCAAATCAGGGGGGATCTGGTCAATCGCTAAGCATATTCTTTTAAAATGAGTTGGCATCCATATATCATAAACATTCCTTGTGAACTTGTATGCCGTCCATTTCTCTTTGCCATCCAGAGCAGTGAAATCGAACTTGTGGATTGGGTGGCGGTAAAAACTTGTCTTCTCTCCTTCAAGAACAGCATAGTGACCATAGATCCTCACTGCTGTGTGATCATGCGAGATTGAGAAGGCGAGTATCTCTCGGTCAACCTCCTTTTCACGCTTCACAAGCTTGAATAGCTCAACGATAGCTCTCATTGCAATAGTGGCACTGTGGGCATTCTGCCGATCTGCGATGTCAAGTGATGCTGCACCACACTTAACTTCACATGTTAAGAATGGGAAGTATAGGTAGTACGTCGCCATAAAGTATGATGAGTCAGTCAGCTCACCAACAAAATCCCGAAGCCTCAGCAGCTGGTCATCTGTGAATGCGTCTCTTTTAAATCCCACGGAATAATCGGGCTGCGGTCGAGTTTTGGTAACAGGGATTGAATTATCCCAGCCTTCATTGACACTTTCGACCAGATGATTGAGATGCGTCGCACCATATATAGCTAGATTTTCCGCAGAGGGGACAATCAATCGAGTGATATCTTGGATAACAATGGCCTCATTTCGCCGTCGCACCTTCTCACAGGTTGCTTTGAACAGATCATCACGGAACAATGAGTCTTCAGGAATCTTTTGTGCCGAATTGAGTAAGGTTTGGCAACAACTTTTGCTGAGTTCTGTGATACCCTGCTTTGATTCACTCATATAGCTGCCTTTAGTTTCTAGCAGGATTTCATAGCGTGGGTCCTTGTATTGAGCGCTCTTTTCCTCTCTTGGTTTCTGGTCACTAGGGGTAGCAGAGCTGGTGAGAGAAGATTTCAATCGTTTGTGACAAAGTGAAGCTGTTGACTTCTTTCTTGCAAGTAGTTGACTCATGTCACAATTCTGTTCAAAGTATTCTCTCGGCCAGGCACCTTTCTTCCTCCAGCAGTCGATCAAGTTAATCTTATCTCTGTATTCTGTAGCCTCCTGAGCGGGAGTATCCTCCTCCAGGGGCAACCTCGCATCAGTGGGGCATGCAAGAGATATTTGCGGTCGCTTTTGAAAAAATTCGGCTGGAAGGCAGGGCGAGTCCTCAGCTTCCTGTGATTGCTTCTATTTTCGAGAGTCAGATTGAAGAGGGTCAGACGGCTTTTGTAGAAACTTGGTCTTTGAAGTTAGTTTCGCAGTAGAGCTGGACAAATAGAACATACCTGTTTCTTGGGATTTGCGCAAAGGTGGCCTTGGACGGCGGTTCTGCTGTCCAATACAGTTTTCCTCCGACAATGATATATCTCTTTTAGGCGTGCACTCCGGCGGGGAACTCCTCCTCGTGGTCGTGCCTTTCGCACACCTTGAGGCTGCTTTCCTATCAACAAATGGTCAGTCAAAAGTGGGCTCAGCCGGTCACGAAACGAGAATGGCTTACGGCCTTGAATTCTTAGCACTGCAGACCCCTGTGATTGCTGCGGTATATTTGGCTTGCTCTTCGAAGGCGCCGTCATCTCGACGAGTGGTTTATGCTATTGTCAAAGGGAGGTGCGGTGCTGGTGATTAAACGGGGGCAACAGTGATGGGAGGGGGTAGAGATATTGCGCTCCTCGTAACATGTGTCGGAAACTTGGGCAACCATAGCTCTGAAAATAGCCCCCTTCTTCTTCATCCAAGTCGTTGGTTCGGGGAAAGCAGAATGACCTTACCAAAAGCTTGACACAGAATTTCTTTTACATGTGGCATGGCATCCCTACTATCGGGCAGTCATGCAGAGACCATAATAAGATGTGCCAAAGGAAGCCGGTGACCTGCCGCCCACCACCTCGTACATTCACTACAGCTAACACTACATTTCACTACGATGACGTCAGGGCTGAATGCAGCCAATGAACAGAGGGCCAGATGCGCTCGCTATACTCACTTCAATTGTCTACGAATAGAATTGATTTTTTCTGAGATTTATTACGTTAATAGAGTATTAAGATGAAAGAAAGTCAGATTTATTCTTAAATAATTAGAGTCAATTACAGTTTATAAAATTCGGATATCTCTAGAAATTTATCAACTTTTATAAATACTTTTACATAAAATTCTCTCTCAGGTTTGTTGACTGATTGAATTGGAGAGCGGCTCCTCTCTTCAGTTCCAGTCTGGCCTCCCCCCAACCCCCATATCTGAAAAACATTCCACTACAGCAAGCCTCTATTATCCGTCTAAACACAATGATATATCATTCCCATTTATGATCCCTACACTGAAACCATTCAACGGACTCCCTCCTGGCCTCGCTCATCCATGTATTCTGCTGAATAATCAGCAAAGAAACCCACTCGCACCACCATACTTGATACTACAATTGCTGCCATCTGCATCGTCATGGAGGCTTTTTTTTTTTTTTTTCCATCCTCCTTGTAACTCATTGTATATTGATGGACACGAGAGCACCAGTCAAAGTGGCTGTTTAGAAAACAATTCTTTTGTGATATTATTTTCGCAGTGCGGACTGCTCATCTCCAAATAGGCCTCACCAGCGTATATGATCTGCTGCGGCATTGATGTCATCCACAATTTCACGAGCCACTCATGCCAGTCCTCTCTTGTTTTGGGAGAACTTGGGATTTTATCATTGAAGTCATGCACTATGTCACATCGCGCGCGTCGCGCGGGCAACAAGCAGCATCACGCGCTAACACCCGCCCCCCGGAGTGGCATCCACTGAGGTATCGAGCGCGTTCAAGCCACTCTCCGCCCTGTTAGTAGTTGGGTGGGTGACCACCAGCGAATCCTGGCTGTCGTATGTTTTTTTAATTTATCACTTTGTAACAAATTTTCTTCTTTCTTTTCCGATGCAACTCTATGTATCTGGAAACCATTACATACCTGCTGGCCGGCAGTGTGTAGACCTAAGACTGGACTGTGGTTATATAACCTTCCCCATTCACTCCGTGTGTACCATACAACAACTAACAAGTTCCTGTGCTTAAGGACCCGAACAGCTTCCCCATTTACGATGATATTTGAATTGCATTGGAGCTACGTGCCACAGATGACCCCATCCCTCTCCTGGACCAATAGGTTCTTTAAAAAGAACAAAACTTGATCATCCACTGCGACCACTACGACCCTAAAATGGGTTGTGGTTTTCGGTTGAGGGGTCTGCGATGATGTGGATATCCACTGACATGTTTCTAATTTCAATTGAAATTCAATTGCAAATCACGAGAAAATCTCGCATTTCTGTCTGTTGTTGCTGCTGGATCCATTTAAGGATTCGTGGCCTATCAGTGCTTCTGGGTTTTCAGCTCAAGAATGGGATCAAGCAGGTAAGATAATCAAAATAAGAGTGAGTTTTTGTTCATAAACCAAGTGGGTTTCACACAGGAAGAACTTCATAGACGTCCAGTGCTTGCACATGTGTGATTTAGAAATCAATTTCGAAATCTACTTTTAATAGCAGATATCTCTTGCATCTCAAGAAGATGAAAGGGAAGAAAGACATCATCCTCAATGCTCAAGTAAAATGTCATCAGAGGTTGCAACATTATCCAAGTTTGGAAAAGCAAATTCCGTATCGAGAAGAGTAGCCTCAAAGGGGAAAGCAAAACAACGGGTAGATCAGTTAGTGAGGTTTTGGACGCGTCAAAATCAACCCCTTACGGAGTAAGCTTAATCGACAAAAGAGGAATGTCCAAACCTCACAAGTTGTTGAGGAATCTCCAAGATAGTAAAATCGAAGGCGACGTCGATCAACTAAGCCCTTTCGCATCACCAAAGACGGCGATGTTTGACATATTACGACGACGACGTTTGCGTGGTGGTGCAAACGCCCTGTTCAAGTTGCAAGAACAGTTTGATCTTCTTCTCCTTTCGCCAAATCTTTCTCCGCATGATGTCGTCAAACCCACTCACTTTGCTGCCACATGGTTAAATGATGTATTTTTCTGTCAAACTTTTCACATCAAACACCAACATCCACATGTCCGGCTGGAGCAAAATGCAGCCATGCCCCATATGAACCGTAATTGCGGCTCTGAGATGATCAGCTGAAGATCGGAAATTCAACCGATCTTCTCCCTCTACGGGCTTTATCGAAATCTTATATCTGTATGTTAGGTTAGGACTGCTCTGCAGCTAACAAACGTGGGAAATCTGGAGCTTTGCGAATGGAGATCGCCTGACCAGGGGCTCGAAAGATGGGATCAGGGATCCATCCAGTTTGAACAGCTATCCATACATCGAATCCTTCACAAACAAGGCTACCCGGAACTTCAAGATCTCGATCCAGGATTTGCAAGCTAGTGCAGTTAGCGGTCTCCTTAGAACGATCTCTCAGCCCTCACAGCGTGAAGGATCCGGGGGAACAATCCTGGTTGAGCTGAAAACTACTTGGAACTAGTCTTCTAGCGTGGTGTCAAGCTCCAGGGTAAAGATCGTAAAGATCTCTCCTCGGGATGAATCTGGATTTCTTCACCTTTCCTTGCCGTTTGCCAGTTTGAATGAATGGAATAACTATATTTCTTCCATTCTTTTTGGCCAGCTGACAGCTTCCCGGGAGAAAGGGAAAAAGAGAATGAGAAACCCTGCTTTTTATTTTGTCTTCAAATGTGCAAAACCCTGTTAAAATAAATCCATTGATTCGTAGAAGCTGTGATCAGGAATTCCTTCACAGTTACTGGGTGCCCAATGGGCTCAATAACCAGTCTTTATATGCACTCTGGAATTATCAGGTTATGGCAGCTGGAGAAGGCCGGTGGAGTTGTTGGTTGGCATGAAAACCGTCTTCCATTGGCAAAATGGGGCTATGGTGCCCACGATGAGTTGATGGCGTCGGTTACGCTGAGCTGACCCTGGAGTAGATCAAAACTCATAGACGAAAAGCCGCCCTTTGGAGTTACCCTTCCGCCAAGCGAATCTAAGCTACTGGTTGGGAGGAATGGGGAGGATGAGAACTTCAAATTTTCTGTGATTATCCGGAGTTTTTGTTTCTTTTACCTTTTGTTGATTAACTATCTCGGGGCGGACTGCAAATCTTACCCAGAAATTCCCGTAGACAGTCGGTGATTGTTGGCTGGCTGGCTGGCTGAGGGGTGTAACCCCGATGCGGTGAACTTTTGCTGCATATCGTGGACATTTCCCTCCTAATTGAAAGATCGATACGGAGTATTTAACTGCGATAATACCCAGACACTAGTTGCACTCAACCCTAGTTCGTCTGTTCAACTTCATAGATTTGCTCTGATCATTCCGCCACGCGCAACTGTAACATTCTTCCGCCTGTCTCCGCCCTTTTTCCAGACACATCATCCCACCATCACTTAGCTTCACGCCATGTACCGAACAAGAAAATAAGTCGATATTGTTGCTTCATGATCAAAATCCAGTCTTTTATATTTTCATAGCGCAAAAACATTTCCTTAACTCACCTGCCATGGCACCAACGAACAAGGCGCAGCACACGCCGGCGCTTCACGCCATTTCATCGCATCTATTCATTTTAATCGCTATTTCTCTTCTCATATCTATCGTGCTTATAAAGAGATTCAGTAAACCAAGGCTCCAGGGTTTGCCCTCCGGCGACACAAAGCAAAAAGCATCCCACCCCAACCTGGTGGAAAAGCATATCAAAGTCAACAAACATGATGAAAGCATCACCCCCCACCCCCCTGCAAGTACGACATTGCCATACCGTCGAACTGAACACCTTGGGACCAATGATTGCCTTTCAACTGATCAGGCACCGAAATTAAAGTCGCCTTCGAAGATCTCAGCCCAATTATCAACATCAGATTGTGCTCAAATCCAGCTTCAGTATCAACATGGAGATCATGAGCCAATAGCTCTATCTCCACCACCTCCACTTTCACTAGATCTAGATCTACAAAGGGCGATGACTGGGAATTCGCAAGCCCCCTCCCAGGTTACAATGCCCGCGCCGCACTGGCAAACCGAAGGTTCTGCTCATTTCGGGGACGACACGCCCAGTAACCACTCACATCCTTTTGGTTCTCTTGTGATGCAAATCCCGGCAGTCGATTTTCCACAGATTCAAAGAGAAACGGTGCAGTTTCTCCCTAGGGCAGGGCCTGACAAGCGTCAGGCTTGGAGACGAAGAGTTCTCGAGTGTAACTAAGGAGCGAAAGAGGCGGATCTTCTTTGTATGATTTCTCAAGTTGGTTGTCCAGTTCCGCAATCGTCCCTTGATATCCCCTGGGAGGAGTTTTGTCGTATCTTTTATCTAGTTTTCTTTCCCACGCCATCTTTCCCTCTTTGATGTCGTTCCTTAGCCAAAATGAGCGAAGTTAAGCAAATATCCTTATAGGTCTTTTAACAACAAAATGAAGAATTTATGATTCCTCGAAAGCGTCTCAGACGAGATACCACAAAACTGAAAATTAAGAACTTCATTGACACTCGTTAAAACACGTCAATAAAAACATCATTCTTTGATGTTCATCCTCCATTCCCACCCCACATTCCTAAAGTCCGAGGCTTGCTTGCTTTAACCCTCATCCTCATGCCCACAGGTGGGCGTATAATCTTGTGTCGTACGTGCCGGCATCTTATAGGGACTCCATGAAAGGACTTCATAAGCAGTGTGGGAAACGACTCCGTATATCAAGAAACTTGAATTGATCGGGGAAGGTATTTTGCCCAGCCTTCTACCAGTCATTATGAGGCTGATAGGGACAACGTCGGGTTGGTTGGGTTGGTCCTTTGATCTCGGCTTGCAGTTGTAATAGCATCGGAGGACATAGGATAGTCTGCATCCGACGTTGCGCCACTCTTTTCGTGCCTTGACGACTCGTCACCACTCATATCCTGAGCCCCGACAGGGTAGATATGAAGTAGACTGGAATGAAACATTTTTTTGGAATCCAGAAAAAGGAAATAACAAAGGCAATTCTACCGCGGAGTAACATAGAGTTTAGAGCGCATTTGGCAGAAACTAAAAGTTGGCTGATAGGTAAAAAGGGATATTGTTTGTTGGATAAGCTGGTACGGTGGCTCAAGAGGAAAATGCGATATCCTGTCGATAATGTGAACAGAGGAAAAAGGAGTGTATATTTATGTGACACACAACTGCCGGGATTTTAAAACAACATGTGCAGAGGGATGATAACGCCATATGATAGAAAGAAGGAAAACCAGAAAGATGAGAGAGAGAACAATCGAACATCCTGATGGGAACAGTAGAGCATGCCGGAGAATCATATGCCTGTTACCCTGGTGAACGGATAAAATCATCTTCCGGCAATGTTTTATGTTAGGGTCAGCATCTCATTGAGCGCTACATTGTCAACCAAGCCCCTTAATATATACAAAATTCATGAGCAAACTTCTTCAGGTGGTTAACATCTTCACGCACCAATGACCACTAAGAACTTGGAGGTCATCAATGTCTTTACAACCCCATAAATCTCAGGAGGGATATTATGGGAATCGGAAAAGAAAACTCCCTTTTGAAGTAAGACCAGTGTTGATGATCCTACGCTTCTGGCATGCTTTGATATTTTCAAGACGTTCGATGTGAGGCGGTTGAAATCTTGCTTATCTAAAAGCTGACTTAGCCGGTTCCCCTCTGACGTATTAATCTAGATTTGGTAAACTGAGCGCTGCACATCATTCCACTTTGTTGAGGTCAGCAACAAATCATATACTTACTTGAAGCCATTATTTATACATCCTCGTCTAAGAAATGGCGCGGAAGCTAGCAGAATCCGACTCGTCCCCAGATACAACATCCATTAACCTCACCCATCTCCTTGCCCGCCTCGAAAACAATCTCTTATCACCCTCCGCAGACCTAAAACCACTCCGTCGATCTCCCTACCATCGAGCTAGAGTTGGAGCAGTAAGCATGCGGAAACAGTTTATATATGTATATATAAAGCCCTCTACTAACTGCTTTTTAAAGAACATCGAATATGCACGATCCCTCATCCTCAAGCTCGAAATGTCCCTCCCAAATATTAAAATCCAATCGCGCAAACATGCTTTACAGGCAGATCTCGCCCAGAGGCGGCAGCAGATTAAGGCACTTAAAGAACAACTAGATGCAATTTCAGCTGCTGCTGAAGCGGACTCAGAAACACAGGATTTCTTGTCAGACAACGAAAAGGATATATTACCAACCCCAAGCGACAGTACACCGGAGTCTACGTCTCCTCCACCGACAAGAGGCGTGGATAGAGCATCAGCAGAAGAGGAGAACGCGAAAGACGGGAAAGGGTTTCATAGAGAAGAGCAACAACAAGAAGAAGAATCCCATACGGCCCAAGAACCAAGACAGGACCAAACATTACTAGATCAACCTGCTTCGCAAATAACACATCCACGTCCACCACAACAACCATCACTACCGTCGTCGAACACACTACGCAGCAGACACCACCCTCCACCACCAACAATCCCAACAGCCACGACAACAGGAACCTCCCTCTCGAAACCCGCCACGACCACCAAACCAACAACAGCAACAACCCCCTTCCCGCCCCACGACCCCAAAACTACCCTCTCCCAGAACGAAGCCGAACAGGACACCCTCACCACCTCCCTCCTATCCCTAGCCACGCAGCTAAAAACCTCCACCCAAAACCTGCACACAAGTCTAGAATCCGAAAAGTCAATTATAGCACGGGCAGCAGAGGGATTAGACCGGAGCACGGCGGGGATGGAAGCTGCGGGGAAACGGATGGGGGCGCTGAGACGCATGGCGGAGGGGAAAGGGTGGTGGGGTCGGGCGTTGATGTATCTGTGGATTTTTGGGCTGTGGGTTGTGGCGGTGTTGATAGTGTTTATGGGACCGAAGTTGAGGTTTTGAAAGATAGAAGATGGGTTTGGTGGTGGATTGGAATGCTTTTGTCTTTGTTTTCCTGTTGAGAAATGTTAACTAGTGGAGATGTGACCGATTTGGCTTTTGTTGATCCATCTCATCCATACATCCATCACTCATTCCATGCCCCTGTGCCTCTCCCACTGGCTAGCGGGGTTCTTTTCAAATGTAACAAGACAGAAAACTCATCTACTAATGCAATGGCAGCAAATGTTAATTATTGTCTAACTAATTGACTCATTACCTCCTCCACCAATATTTTTTAAGACTTGCTGCTCAAATTTTCTTTCCCCACCTTGAGATATCATTACAACATATACAATCCAACACAAAGTTGCAAACAGTGTTTCCAATTCCATCATCACTGAGGGGAAAGAGTAGAATCAATTTTACTACCCATGGAAGGCTGCCTGTTCATATCAAGTTGATGGCGAAATATATTAAGACCCCGCCATCCACTCGGTCAAGTTAACCACCCGCAAGAAAATATCCTTGGAAGAATCAGACAGTTTAGGATAACACTCTTACTCAAAATTGAACTGGCAAACCAACCAATCAATCAA